GTAATAAAGTTAAATTATTGCTTGATACTTGACATCTCTTCTCTGCTACTATGTTTCCTATTTCGGGAGAAATTTTATTGGCCGAGATTACTTTCAAAATTGATCCAAAGTGAGCGTTATTAATACGGTTTCGGACAGGAGATTTATTTCCATTCATAACAGAAAATAATTGCTCGCACTGATAAGTACTTCCAAACATGGAAAAAATTTCATATGCGAATTTTCGAGTTTTTTCAAACCTTGCCGGTAAATATTTATAAAATTCAGGCACACCCACTTCAATGAATTTTGCCTTTAAATTTGAATCGCACTGAATCTCAATCTCTTCCATTTGCATATTACTGGGTACTGAGTCTATATTTATTGAGAAAATCGAAGAAAACAAACAAAATTTGTTTTCCAAAGAATTAAAATATTTAAACCTTGTTTCAAACTCTATTCTAAGATTTGAAATTTTTTCTGCGTAATTTTGATACGATGCAGTATCCCCGGAATGGCAGGTACTGCAAGCCAATTAGAATTTTACATTTTTGAGAGTACAATCTAAAATTATCCGTATAGCTTATAAATAAAGTATATTATAATTTTATATGCTAGTTTCCTTTCTAATTCACATTTCTATTTTATTTTTACTTTGTTTGTATGTATTGACCGGGCCGCATGCGCCCCGCGAGTTTGACACTCCTGTATTAGCATAAAAGACTAAGATTGTAAGAAGGAAGTGATGTTCATGTATTGATAACATTTTTCTGTATTGTAACAGAAATAAATGAAATTTCCTCTAATTTTGCTGTTTAGGAATCAACGGATCTCACAACGAGCTCTCATGTTGTTAGTGAGTTTAACTAGGGTTTAAGTCTTCAATCCAATATCTCATACCTTCCTGACACTTTAAATCGCCGAAGAAACCACCTGAGTCAATGCAGACAGCACCAACGTCGGACAATGAGCCTATGTTCAGGGGTGCCACTCTTCAGTCCTAAGGACTGATATCAGTCTTGAGAAAAAATCAGTGGGCTGAAATTTATCCGCCAATTAATATTTATTTCCAATTTGTTTTGAAAATTAAGTTTTTTAAAAAAAATTCAATTTTCTTTTTTCCTATTAAAAAAAAATTTAACTATTCTTTTCCGCTAAATTAAAAAAAAAAATATAAGATAATTTTCTTTAAAAATAAAATTTATTGAAATAGGATGTAACTTAATGATGCCGAAGTGAAAAATAAGTTGAGATAGGAATAGCATACCTGCCAACTTTTACGCATTTGGCGTAAAATGTTATTTTTACATTTAAAGTGGTAGTAAATATATACTATTTTTTTCTTTTATAAGATTAATTTTAAAATGGTTTTGATTAACACTATTCTTAAAAAAAGTAAGCATATATATTAACATCTATTCTTATCATGGTTGTGAGCTAAAGCTTGTTCAAATACAACATATTTTTTTGCTTACAATTGAAATTCAAATTCCATTTTACTACCACTGGGAAAAATTATAATGGAATAGCTCCAAGAAAAAAATTGCGGTGTAAAAAGATGGGGGATTAGCGGTTATTTTTGTTTTGTTTGCTGTAAAATAAAAAAAAATGTATCCTTTTTTTAAAAAAAAGTAATCAAGTCATTGATATAATATATGGATCATTCTCATTCAGAGAGAGCTATAAATTTCGGAAAAATTCTGTTAAATAACGCTAGACCACGTTAATTGGTCAAAAAAATAAGTTCTATCTTAAATTTTTTTTAGAGTGGCACCCATGCCTAGGTTCTTTTTACTGATGAATAGTTATTGTTTGATTACCTAAACGACTGACGAATCACCGATTCCTTATTTGTTCATGTATGTAGTAAAACAGTGACCTCCGGTACTGGCCTTCTAACGACATCATGAAAATTCAAAACTATGAAGGTCAAGTTGTCCCCGGGCACAAAAATATTTTAGACTCTTATAACACATCATAATGTTTAAAAACGAACTAAAAAGCTTCACATACATAAAATAAATCAGTTTTAAGATATAATGCAATTTTAACAAATTTAAACACATTTTGATTACCTCAAAAAACATTTTTAAACTACGTATAATTGTAATCCTAAAATAATTTTCAAAATCATGGAATTTAATTAAAATGATTAAATTAAATAAACATAGAGGTATAACAAATTAAAATAAATTCAAAAGGTATGAATTATTTTGTCAAACTAAAAAGTTATTAAAACGTCTTTCAATGCCCAAGTATCTAAAATTTTCAGTGGAACGTAGAAAAATAGATTTCAGTTGCCTTCTTTAAGTTTTCTTGTTGATAAACTATTCAAATTATTGGTGATAATCAATCACTATTTGTAGAACAAAAAAATGCACACTTTATATAATAGAATATATTCATTTTAAAAAATATATAAGGCAATGTTGTTTAGTCTTTAAACACAATTTATAAAAAATAAGATTCTCAAGGGCCCCCATTCATGAACATTAACTCATTAGATTTCTGTAAAAAACACTATTTTAATCGGTTTTCCTAAATTATTTGACTTTTAAAATCCAAAATAGTTAAAGCAATTCTCAATAGATGGCAATGATAGAAAAAATTATTAAACCATTTTAACTACAGTATTTGCACAGGCACATGCTAATTTTGTTCCCAGACTATTCAATTGTTAGCAGTACCATCCATTGACAAGCTCTGAAATTAATTTTTAAGCTTTGATAGTTTAAAAAAATAACTAGCTACCGAAGTAGAATGCAGCAAACTGTACACTTGTATTTTCATTAATCTTCAACCTGGTAAATATAGTCAGTAACTTTATACTTATTATTTATTATACAGTAAACAATTTTTTTAAAATTTTAACTTTACTATCAACACAGAAATTATAGCAAATAATGAGATAAACAATTTTGACGAAAATATTTTATTGCTTTCTTTTAGATCTCAATCAATGACTACAATCTGAACCATTTTCATATGGCTCAGCCATTTAAAAAACATTAAAAATATATTAAAACAAGAATCAATACCTAATTTTTTGTACTTTAGTAAAAAAACTTATCTCCTCAATGATAATTTAGTTGCATGAATCACAATCATTACAAAGTGTTTATTAATTATTATGCATACATTAGATGGTTTAGATTGCATCTTTTTTAATCACAAATTTAGAACTAATATATCTCTATATTGCAAGAGATATTATGTACTGGAAGAATATTGATATAGTTTATTTTTTCTTAAACAAGCATTGTATACTTAGCAGTATTGAATCTTCTATGCCATGTAGCAATACAACTGGCAAAATTCATTAAAAATCTCTGCATAAATGTAAATATTAACTGACATCAAGTTTTAACATCAGGGGAAGAGGAACAGATATTTAAAAATTATATACCATTAAATCTGCAATATTTTAAACTTTATAAAATAAGCGTAGTTAACAAGCAACTTTTATAATAATAAGAAAAAAGAATGTAAAAACTTCTACCAAAAAGTATACAAGGTCTACATTTTAATTATAGAAACATTTCGCTTTGAAGCATTATAGGAGAAAATGGATATGAAATTTAATAACTTTTTTAAGCCCGTTACTCAGTTCGGAATTGCTTTTCTGTGTAGTAGATTTGTTCTCTCAGATACAGCCAATTGGAAGCCTTTTCATATCTTTATTTAAGAAATTTATTAAATTTTTTATTATAATTAAAAAGTTTTATTAACTAAATGTATTCATAGTTTTTTTAAAAAAAATATCGTACAAATATTGTAATTAAGTAATAACATTGTAAATTAACAACATTATAACCAAAAGATTAAGTTACATAAAAAGATGCAAAGGAGCAACCATTTACATGCATTTAAGCATTCACATTTTGAATTAATTGTATACAGTTAAAGACCACAAATACTTTTTTTTTATATCAGTTTTTGACCTTCAACTGTATAGGATTTTCAAAATACACAGAATGTCAATTTTAAGCATGTAATTATACATTAACAAGCAATAATTTAATAAGGTTTTAACTAAAAAAAAAATTCTAACAAAAAGAGTAATAACAGCAAGCAGCTTAACAATGCCTTGTGCTCAGAATCAAGTTTTTAATAATTTATTTTGAATTAGTCAACATGTTAGGCCTATAAAGAATGCCACATTCTTGTCCATGTTTGTCAGTACAATAAAGGTATTAAATGGCTGAAATTTTACAAAAATTGAATAAACTTGAAACTAATGTCATTTTTATGTTGTTTTAACTAAAATAGATTTCAGATTTTTGTTATTTATTTATTTGAAATACAGTACAAGTGTATCAAATGAAAACACCAGAGTATTTCATATTTCCTTTTGAATTTGCAGCACAATAAAGTGATTTCTCTGCAAACAAATATGTGTGAGAAAAAAAAAAACAGATTATTGCCAGTAATAATTTAATAAAATAGTGAAAATCAAACATTACAAGAGTGATTAAAGTTTTAATCACTGTGTCATTTGATAAACTTAGTCTACTTATTCATATTCTAAAATTAGTTGGCAAAAACAGAAGATTTAAATTTGATAATTTTATTTATATAGAAATAGTTATAAAATATTTGGCCCAGCATCTGTTTATCACTTAGAGGCTTAACTATATCTTAAATTCATACAATCAAACAGAATAGTTTAGCAATTTTAATATCAATGTATTGAACTTAAGATAATAAATTTATTTAAAAAGAAAATACATTCCATGAGCAATCATTTTTTTTTATAATT